GTCTCTTGATGCTAGTCTGACATGGTGCTGATGTGGGACACAGAGGCAGAAGAAACATTATTAAATTTCCTTACCTACTGACAAGACCTTAAAACAGGCAGAGTGACTCTCCTCTAGGGACTCCACTACCCCCTCTTTAAGGCTTTGCTAAGGGCAAAGGACAATCGTAGACTGACGACCCCCTACCCCCAGCCAGAATCCTGTAAGTCTACTTTAACAATTCCTTTGGAAACTTTATCTCTAAACCTCCAAGATAGTGTCGACAATCATTCCCAAGCATATGGCCCACTGATAGACATCTAAAGGGTCTCACGAAAGGTTTTATTTCCCCAGACAATAGCTAGCCCCTCAAGATCCTAGAAACCTTGCTTCCACAATTCCATAGAGACTTACATCCCTAACCCCCTCCCCAACTTACAAGTATATAACAGACCACTCCTCACATCCCCGGGGCAGCAGCTCTTCCTGCCCACAGGTCCTGTCCCGGAGCTCTAATAAACCACCATTTTGCACCAAAGACATTTCAAGAATTCTTTTTTTTTTTTTTAAAGATTTTTTATTTATTTATTTGACAGAGAGAGATCACAAGTAGACAGAGAGGCAGGCAGAGAGAGAGAGAGAGAGAGGGAAGCAGGCTCCCTGCTGAGCAGAGAGCCCGATGCGGGACTCGATCCCAGGACCCTGAGATCATGACCTGAGCCGAAGGCAGCGGCTTAACCCACTGAGCCACCCAGACGCCCTCAAGAATTCTTTCTTGGTCATCAGCTCCGGACCTCACCCCACCGAACCTCACCTATGTTCTAGAACTTCATCAGTGTTGCCCCACTCTGTCCTGAGAAACACAAAAGCTGGTCTTTCCCTTTTCTCTTCTTTTCTTTTTCCTTTTCTTTCCTTTTCTCTTAAGATTTTGTTTATTTATTTGGGAGAGAGCAGAAGAGAGAGTATGAGTCAGGAGCAGAAGGAGAGGGAGAAGCAGGCTCCCCACCGAGCAGGGAGCCCGCCGACTCAGTGCTCAGTCCAGGACCCCGGGAACATGACCTGTGCTGAATCCAGACGCTTCACTGACTGAGCCCCCCAGGCACCCCACAAAAGGTCTTTGGAGGAGATTTGCTCCCTCAGGCTCCACGACCCAAGGGGTTGTAGAAGTGAGTGCAGAGTCTGGATCCCCCGCCCCTCCCAAGCTCCGAACACCTGGGCCCCCACCATTGGCCCAGATGTCTGGTCAGGAATGAGAAACCAAATATTAGGTGTGAGGACACGCTCTCTCTCTGAAGCTCTGGGGGGCCTTCCCGCTTCCCCCTACAGTCTCAGATCCCAGGTCCCGCCTCGACTTCCTTAACCTCCCCCATTATCAGCTGCTCCTTATATAGAGCCTTCTGGACCCCAGAGGGCCATCTGGATAATTCTTGGATCAGGGCCTGGCCAGACCAGCAGGGCCCCGCAAGTGTCTGGCTTATAGGAGGAGGAGCAGGGGGGTCCCTGCTTGTTCCCTTGCTCTTTCCTCCTTTTATGGATGTAGCCAGCTAAGTGGAGGCCCCCAAATTCTCATCTGCCTGCCTTATTGAAGAAAGGGCCTTTGCTAAAGATCTCGAGACTAGATCGTCTTGGGTTTAGGCTGACACACAGAAGGCCGTGTGGCCACAAATTGAGGGACATCCAGAGCCACCAGAAATGAGTGAGTCTGTAAGTGTTGACAAAGTAGACCCAACCAACTGGCCACCCATGGTGTTTTATCTATCGTCCGTTTTTTAAATAGAGATTTTATTAACTTTTTCCACGTGGTTCAGATTATGGGAGAATATCTTTATAAATAGGTATGGGGGCTCACGTTTTTCCTTTTTGCCTCAGGATACGTCCTTTCAAGTGAGGGAGGAAGGTGGGTCCACAGGGTAAGGGAAGGGGGAAAGGAAGGTCACTGGCAGCCTGGTCCAGAGCCTCCCGTGGAGGGTCCCGGCTAGTGGCCAGCAGGGGGCGCTGTGGGGCTGTGCGGCCGAGAAGGAGCAGCAGCCTGGGCACCCGCCCCCCCCTTTCCTGACACCCCATCACTCACAGCCTGAGCAAGCAGGGGGAGCTGGCCCAGTTGGTTAGTTCTTTAGCGACAAGGCTATCCCTGAGTGTAGAGCACAAAAGCCCACCCCTTGCTCCCTGACCCTGGGGCCAGCCCCCTGGGGACAACTGGGCCCTGCCCAGCAGGCCAGGGGTGGACTTGTCCCTCCCCCACCCCACCCCTACCCAGCAGCAGCTCTAGCCCTGGTGTGGGGGGAGTCGCTAATTGCCCGTGTCCCTTGCCTAGGGGGTGGGGAGCAGAGATAAACTCTCAAGGGCCACGTTCCAGAATGATTCCAGTTTTGCCAGTCAAGAGGCTCCTTCCCTACTTGAGTCCACTGAAGTGAAGGGAGGGGTGTGTCTCTCTTCCCAGAGGCTCTCCCCACCCTGCCCATGGATGCCCCCTTTCCCCTCACAGCCCTCACAGTCCCCAGCCCTCTGGCTCCCCCTCAGCCTGAGCTCACCAGGGGCCATCAGGCCCAGGATGGGGGCACTCACCCCCTCCCTGCCCGCCACAATCTCCCTGTCCTTTGCCCTGTTTCCTGCGATCTTCCTCCTTTGTTCACTGCCTTCCTCTTTCCATCTCTGCCCCTCAAGACTGGTCTTGGCCAGCCCACACTCTCCCCTCCCTCCATTTGCTGCTTCTGATGGCCTGATAGTCAAGTCACCCTGTCCAGAGCAGGCCCATGTCCCCGGTACTGTGGCTGGCTTCCAAACTCCTCCTTCTCCTCCGGGTACCTGCCTGGTTCACTCTTATTTTACTTACTTATTTTATTTTATTTTAATTATGTTTCACTCCTATTTTATTTTATTTTTTAATTATTTATTTATTTGACAGAGATCACAAGTAGGCAGAGAGGCAGGCAGAGAGAGAGGAGGAAGAGGCTCCCCGCCGAGCAGGGAGCCCGATGCGGGGCTCGATACCAGGACCCTGGGATCATGACCTGAGCCGAAGGCAGAGGCTTTAACCCACTGAGCCACTCAGGCGCCCCTCACTCCTATTTTAAATTAGAGGTGACTATGCAGCTCAGAAAGGCTAAGTAACTTGCCCAAAGTCACACAGCATTAGGAGGCAGTCTGGCTCCAGAGTCCAGCTCTCCATCCTGCAGCACCGCCTCTGTGGAAAGGCCTTGCCCACTCCTGTCCTCTCCACTCTGCACTCATGCCTCATTCACACAGCTCCCTCTCAGCCCCATGCACTGGTCTTGCTCTCTCCGAGCGGTGTTCATTCATTCTTTGGATTTCTTCTGAGCACCTCGGCTGTGCCAGGCCCCGGAGACAAAGGTGTACACTGCATTTGAGGAGTTCATGGTCTGAGAGACAAGACTCGTCCTGCAGGTCAGCTGAAACTTCTAGGCAGCAGGGAGCCCTCCCAAGCGAGGAGGCTGCTTCCTGCTTCTCCTGCAACCCACCCGGGGGTAGAGACCTCCTGGTCTCTCCTTAGGGAGATGTTGCTCTGGCTGTTGCCTCCATCGTGCGTGGGGGTGGGGCAGGCTGGCCTGAGGCTGTGGGGTGTGGGATCCAGGGCTTGGGAAGGGGGTCTGGGAGCTGAGAGCTCAGGGAAGGTGCTAGAATTTTAAGGTGGTATACGTAAACAGACTTCCTTTCTCAAACATCCTCTGCCAGACACTTCCGGGAGCTCCCCACCCCCTTCCCCATGTGGGATACCCAGTGCTCATGTCTAGCAGAGGGGTGGGAGGGGTGAGGGGTGAGGGGGGTGGGCAATCCTTGACTCTCTCCCATTTTCCTGAACATCTCTCCCGGATTCCTCCCCGACTTATCCTATGCTCCCCAGGGAGGAGACTTCCAGGACAAAAGACTGAAAGCCCCTTGACTTTAAAAACAGCACAAACGCCCTTCCCGGCCCTCCACAGCCCTGCTTCTGGTCTCCAGCCCCGGCTTCTGATTATCCGGGTCAGGGCGTCTGCTCCACTTGTAAGCCCCAGCTCCAAGGAGCCACTGCGGGCCGTGGCTGAGGCACAGGTGAGGGGGCCCTTGGGTGGATCTCAAGAACAGGCCTGAGCCCTGAGCTAAGTGAGGGAGGCAGAGGCGAGTGGCAGCTGGCAGGAAAAGACAGAGCCAGTGGCGCAGACGCGGGAAGAGCGAGTCTGTTTAATGACACGGTGGGTCTGGTTACAAACATCAGAAACTACAAAAGGACAGGCAGTTACACACATGGCCGCACGAGGATGGGACAGGAGGGGACACAGGCACAGAAGCCACAGTAGCCAGACATCCTTGAAGATGGCACACGTGACCAAGGGGCACACATGGGGGGCGGGGTCCCCAGCAACTCTGACCCAGATGGGTGGACAGGACCCGACTGCTAACCAGCAGCCCGGGGTCAGGGACGGAAGGCCCTGGGCCTTCGGCCCACAGAGCTCCAGGATGGGAGGGAGGCATCTGGCCTGTCATGGCTGACAGCCGCGTGGAGCCCCACTCCCGCTGGGCTCCTAGCAGCAAAGGCAGATGGGGCTGGCATTCAAGGTTTCTGTACCAGGGCCCCTCCCCCAGTGCGGTCCTCCTGTCCCACACGGCTGGCCCCTCTGTCCGCCCTTGCCCATGCTGGAGCAAGTCAGGGAGCCACATCCTTCTGGCGGGGAGAGGTGGGGAAGGCCACCTGGAAGTGGAAAGCAGGAATGTGCAGAGCTGGTCAGAGAATGGGCTGGACTCTGCGGGCAAGCTGGGTCCACCCCGACCCCCGCTCCGCCCACCCAGGCCCTTGGGTCCCCTGCCACCCTGGCCACAGGTGTAGATTCTCTCTGTGCTGAGGTGGGAGCCCCGTCTCAGCCAGAACATTCTGTCCTCTGCCCAGAAGCATGACCAGGACCCCTCCCTGCCCCACACACAGATGGGCACAACCAAGGCTTCCCTTGTGCCTCTGGGCCCCGTAGATACACAGTATAGATATGTATGTGTATATATATATATATATATATATATTTTATATATAGATTGTATATAGAATATATCTGTATGGTTGATGAGTGTGCGTGATGCTCTAGATAGGTGATGTGGGGACCTGCATGCTGGTGGGGCAGATAGAAATGGGGCTGGCTTACTCCTGGAAAGACTCACACCTGCCCCGGACTCCTGCCAGCTGCTCAGCTAGGTCTCTGACAGAGAGTACAAAAGCTAAGAAGAGTGGGCCCGGCTCTTGAAGGAGGAAGCGTCCCCACCCCCACAGGCCCCTGAGCTGGGGTCCGCAGACAGGCAGCCAGCACCACCTGCCGGCCGCTCCAGTGGCGACTGTGGCCACAACAGAGGCTGCCTCTTTCTGGGAAGACAAGTCAGGGTTTCCTCCAGCTTCCTTGGCACCCAGAAATGGAGGGTCAAGGAGGGTCTTCAGAACTCGGCCTTCTGCTCAAGGTGCTGCCTGGGAGGGGGGAGGAGAGAGGGGGTCCTACGGCCCTGAAGAGGGCAGCGTGGCCGGCGGGCTGTGGACAAGATAGGAGATGGAGTTAAGAGGTTACAAGGGGCACGAAGTGGGGCCAGGGAACGTGGGGGTCAGGGGATGACGGTAAGGCAGGGCACGATCTGCCGGGAGACCCACCCAGCTGCAGCCCAAGGCAGCCCACCAGACCCCAGTTCCGGCCCCCTTTGGCCAGGAACTCGCTGCGTGACCTCAGACAAATCAAGGGGCCCACCCGAACCCCAGGTTTTTCTCTCCAACCTGTGAATAACGTCTGTTTGGCCTGCCTCTACGGGAATGGAGTTTCCCGTAGGCAACGGAGTTTGTCTTTCACAAACTGCAAAGAACCTTTCAAAGGTCGGCTCTTTTTCTACTAATTCCGAGACCCGTCTCCGCTCTGGCTGGTTTGTCTGAGTTCCCTTCTTGTGACCCACAGGCATTCTCTGCACACCAGCCTCTTTGCACTCACCACCATGCCCCCCAACTTCCCGACTCCCCAAACCACAAGAAAAATGCACATGAACCCTTAAGCAGCACAGTTCAATAAACAGCGGCATCTGGCCCGCCACTGCTTCCCTGATAAGAGAAGCTAGACGGAGGCCTTTTAGAACTCTGTTCTGAAACTCCCTCCCACCATCTGAACCCATTTGGACCTTGGCAGGAGTTTGGGTCTGCAGGCCCTGGGCCCAAGGAGACATGCCTTCTTGGGGCCCACACCCATGCCCTCAGGAGACCGGGGTGGGGGCTGAGTGTGCAAAGGGACAAGGGGACAATCCCCAGGACTCATGGCTGGGGGCGGGTGGGAGGCACCCAAATTCAAGGTGCCCAGCCCGGATGGATGCAGGGTTCCAGCCAGGCCCCGCTATAGCCCCTCCATTCACTCCCCGAGGAGCAGAAATGGGCAGACTGAGATTCTGGTGGTTTCTTAATGTTTGGGATTTGGTGAGATGTAAGTCCCAGGGGTCCAGCTGGGGCAAGACAGGGGAGGGGACAGGGCTTCGTGTCGGGAAACACTGTCCATGTGTTTCTGATTCACTGGGACTAGTGCTGGCCAGCTCTCTCTCCTTCTCCCTCTCCAGTCCCTCTAGGCCCCTGTAAAAAAGCCCTTTTCTCTAGAAGCAGGAAGTCTTGTCTCCTGGTTGTAAACAAACTCATCTCTGGCAGCCAGAGCTGAGCCGGCCTGGGGAGAGGCGTGGGAGGGCAAGCCCCTTCCCCCCACTGACCCTCCCTGGCCCCTCTGTCTGCTTCCGCCAGCTCTCCGGGCTCTACCAGCACCTTCTCTGGCTGGTAAAGATCTTCGGCCTGCTTCCCGTCCACCCGGGGATCTGGGGCCGGCCAGGACCCAGCTGTGCACATCTGGAGTCACTGCCTGGCTACAGCCAGAAGTTCCCGAGGTTTCTACTCTCCTGGGGTGGTGCTGCGGTGGGGGAAGGGAGCCGGAGCAAGCCGGAGCCGGAGCCGGTGTGGTCAGCAGCAGGAAGGCCTGGAGGCCGGGCCTCGCAAGGTCGCCCTCAGGGGACCTCCTCCAGAGCTGGGCCCGGAGGCCTTGCGAGCAGGAGGTCCCGGCAGGCTCTGTGGGCCTGCTTGGAGCCCAGGGAGGAGACGCGCCTTTTCCATGGGAAACTGCTGGGAATGTTTCTCTACAACGCGTGTCCTGAGCTGCTGGCTGACCCCGGCTTCCCATTCCCGCCTACGCTCCTCTCCCTCCTTCCTACTCCAGCTCTGCCTCCGCCCCTCCATTGAGCTCCCAGAGCCGCCTGCCCCTTGGGGGCCCAGGCAGGCCAGAGTGTTCCCAGCCACCATGTCTGGGGGCCGGCCCTTCCCTCATGCTCCGAGTCAGCTGGAGTCCCTGAGGCCGGCCACCCTCCTCGAGCCCATCTCCCCGGCCCTCACCCCAGCCCTGGGAACCTGGCCTCCAGGGTCAACCGAGAAGTAGACCCCGCTGATGGTGTGTGTGGTCGTGGTACCCACACAGGCCCCTCGTGGGCCCGGGCACGTGTGTCCGTGTGCACACATCCTCGTGACTCTCCTGGCTCCGGCCCTACTGAGGCAGAGGCAGGATGGAGCACTGGCCAGCACGAGATGAGGAATGGCCCCCTGTGATTGGTACCCGGGGAGGAAATGGCCAAACTTAGCCTGGCCGGCCTCCGGCCCGATGAGCTAGCCTTCCCGGAAGGAACATTTTAGAGCCTCTCTGCCCTGGGTGGCCTCGGCCTTGAGGGCTCTGAGGGCTGTCTTGTCCTAGAGAAGGAGAATTTGTTCGGGGCTCACTGCCGCCCGTAGGAGGGGCCTGGCCCTTGCCCATCGTGCCTGCTTGTCGCTGTGTCAGACCCCAGACCCGGACTCCCAGAAATGTTCCTGTGCCCCAGGAGAGACGGAGATGAGCGGGCAGGGGGACACACGGCAGGGAAGCCACCCGGCCCACCCTCACCCCTCCTCACGTGGTGGTGTTGGGGACCTGCTGTACCCAGCCCACTTCCTTGTAGGCAGCGGTCACGTGACTGTAGATGAGGCTGCGCAGCTTGGCCCAGGCTCTCTGCGTCTCTGCTGGGAAGTCATTGGCAAATTCCTCCGCGATCACCTCGAGAATCACCCCAGAGAGGATCTGGGAGCAAAGAGAGGAGGGAAAAGTAAACGCCTGGGTACCTGTGTCATCCCCAAAAGCCCCAGGACCCCAGCACCCCTTCCACCCAGAGTCTGGCCAAGGGGATCATTGATGACATGATAGCCCAGCGGCTTGGGGGACCAGGCACCACGGAGACCGGATCCTGCGTCCCTCCCTGTCACCGCCACGCTGCAGGAGGAGGCTGGGCTGTCTGGTGGTCACCGCTGTTGTCCCAGGGGCTCCCCGAGCGGAGCGGGGTGGGTGGTGGATTGGCCATGCCCACCCAGCCACGTACCTTGAAGTACACCGGCTCCACCTTGTGCTTGAGGGCGTGCGCTTTGCCCACAAGGGCGAGCACAGACGATACCTTCTCGGGGTCATGTAGGTTTTCCACCACAGTGTTGAGGGCCCCCATGACCCGGCAGGCGTGTTTCCGCAGCTGGGGGCTCCGCTCCATCTCCAGGGGCTCGGTCATGTGCTTGAACTGGCTGAAGTATTGCTTGGCCGACGGGAAGTTCACAAAGAACCTGGCGGGGAGGGGTTGCTGAAGCGGGGGCCGCCGCGGCCCCACCCTGAGATGGCCTGGATGATGGGGGTGCAGGGTAGGAGGGGCAGGACCCCTTAACTGTTTTCACCACCGTGGGTAGCTGTCCCTCAGACGCAGACCCTCTCTCTGGCCAAGCTGGCTTACAGGCAGCCACCCCCCCACCGCCGGGTCCTGCCCATTTCTGTCTACCAGGCCTGCAGACTGTCAGCTGTGTCTCCCAGGCCTCTGCCTTTCTTGGCCTGGCCTCATTTCCAAATCCTACACACCCTTCAAGGCCTGCTGTAGTCCCAGCAGAGAGGGTAAGAGCTCTAGTTCTGGAATCTCAGGCCAGTGTCACCTTGGGCAAGGGACTTTACTTCTCTGAGGCTCAGTGTCCTCCTCCAAGCAATGGGCATCGTTGTCCCCAGCTTGCTGTGGGGACGAACAGAGCCACGGGGGGATGGGGTCCTCCGCACAGTGTGAACACGGGGTGCTCAGTAAATGCCGGACTTCATCACGGTCAGGTTAGAGCCTCTTTGCAAACAAAGTAAAGCCCGAGTGACCTAGCTCAGGTCACCCAGCGCACGAGGGAAGATATGCAACTCAGTCGTCCTGCCAGCTCTCTGTTTCCTCCTCATGCCGTGCTCCCCTCCTCAGCCCGTAGGGCATGTATTGACTGGGTGACTTAATTAGAACTACAGACGGTCTTACCCTCCTATTACTTCCCATCTCCACATCTTGCTTCTCCAAGAAGCCTGTGCCCATCCCAGGGCAGACCCCAGGTCTTCTAAGCTCTCCTTCCCCTCTCCAGCTTACCTGAGATTGTCTAATTTCCCTCCAAATATTATTCTCATTAGGTCACTTTCATGCTCAAAAACATTCAGCGGCTCCCCATTGCCTACCGGACAAAGTAAAAATCCTTAACCTGGGATTCCAGGCTTCCTAAAAACTGTCCCAACTCAGCCATCTTCTTCCAGCCCAGTCCATTCACTGCTGGTAAAACACCCCTGGGGCCGGCCAGCCTTTCTTTCCGCACAGTGGGAGGGATGTCTTCCTCACTCTTTCTCAGGTTGAACTTGCCTCCCGGGAGACTGCTTTCCCCTTAAGGCCATGAGGGGTTCCCCTGCCACCTTTTACCGCTGCTTCCCTTTCTGCCTGTTGGACTGGGTCCTACCACCCAAGGGTAGGGCGTGGCTCTCACACATCCTCTGACCCAGTATCTCCACCCAGGGCTCTGTGGTCTGCAGGATGACGTTGACGAGGATGACCTTTGCATTCCCTCTCCCTGGCAGAGCTGGCTGTTGGGGGAGGTACACGTGGAGAGACTGGGTCAGAACTCCAGGACGTGTCCGGAATGTCTCCGGACAACCTGTTTTGTCAGGTGGTGTCACAGCTCCGAAGTGTCCCCCTTTGTGATCAGAGAAAGCTGATAATGTACCAAATCAGCCCTTTGGCCAGAGAGCTGGAACAGCTGTAGAAAGAGCATCTGACCGGGGCCGACCCTCCGGGCGACAAAGCTGCAGCTGGCAGGGACGGAGTGACCGAGACATGGTCCATGTGGAGACCAAGGGCAACCTTGGGCAAACCACTTCACAACCCCCTGTCTGCTCAAGGGTGAGAGGAGTTCCTCCCGCTCGATAGTTCACAGATACGATGGTGAGGACAAATGAGGCAATGAGTCTGAAAATACATTGGATTTTTCTGGAGAGGCACTGTGTGAAGGACAAATGTGAAAAACCCAATCTGGACTTAGATGAGTGTCTTGGGCTCTGGGCATTTCACATTGCCATAAAAATAATGATCGCTGTTCGCCCTGTGTGTCGCCGTGTGCAAAACATCTCCACCGGCTCCTTCATTTAATTGCCACAACCAAGCAGGCATTGTCTCTGTTCTACTGATGAGGAGACTTAATGAGCACTTACTAGATTGTCTCATTAATCCTGCAAGAGCCTCCTGAGGCTGGTACTGTTTTTATCCCCATGTTCTGTTTTAGGAATTGATGGCCAAGGTTGCCCAGTGAAGCGGGGTCGGGAAAGAGAGACTCTACTTGCCCCATCCTGCCTCATAGGGATGGGGAGATGGGGGGTCAGGGACCCAGGGAGTCTCCTGCCCCAACACCCTGGGGCCGGGTGATGGTCCTGAGGAGTGACAGTCCCAGGGAGCCCCACGGCTATGCTATGCCGGGGGAGTCCGGGCGCCCTGTGCTCTGCTCCTTCATGCTGGGCCTCTGTCCCTGGCCCCTCCACGGACACTCTCGACCCTCCCGGTCCAGGCCTGTGCTGCCTGCCAGGGAGAAGCCTCAGCAGCCAGCCTTGGGGGGTTTCTCCACTCCCAGAGGCATCTGGGCTTCCAGCAGAGCCTGAAATAGGCTCGTCTAAGTGTGAGGGGGGAAGGCGGCAGAGTTACAACCCGGAGGAGAGAGGCTTCCCGGAGCAGGGGTGTTCCCTCTCGGTTGGAGTGCAGGTGTGGGGTCTGGTTCAGACTGGAAGATGGCTTCTCCACCACCACCAGCTGCCTGGCCACCCTCCTGGGGTAGAGCTGGGGCGGGGGGTGCAGCTGGTCTTAGCCCAGTGGGAGGGAGGACCCAAAGAGCAATGGGCCAGGGGACTAGTGTTTCAGGCTCTCACTGGGCCTGTGCTTGTGGGCCAGGACTGAGGAGGGCAGGATCTGGGGAGGGGCCTTTGGGATACCAGAGAAGCTTATCTATCTTTTCCTTTCCCCCTTTTTAACCAAGCCTGCACCCCCGCCCCCACAACAACCCGGCAGCTTGGGGGGACAGGGGGCAGGAAGAGACCCAGGAGGGGTAGGCTGGTGGGGCTTGGATCTGGCAGGGAGGAGCTGAGCCAGCGAGGGGCTCCCATCCGTCAACACCGAGGTGGGTCAGGTGGAGTGTGGCCTGGGCTGACCAGCAGGCCAGACCTCATCACTATCTCAGGCCTTCTCGGCTTAACTGTGGCCCTCTCACGGAGCACCGAGCACATGGGGAAATGGCCCCTGCCACCCGCCCAACCCAGCCTCCCTGAGAGTCAGGAATGGGGAACTGCAGGGGCACAGAGAAAGATCTTGTCAAGATGTCAGACCCCAGAAACAGCCCTGGCCGTCTTCCGTTCCTTCCTCTGCACCCCTCATTCCCAGGGAGGCTGGACGGTACCCCAGGAGCTGGATCTTGGACACATCCCCTCCCCGTCCTCCCTGGCAAATGGCAGGATGTCGGTGTTGGGACAGCGGATCTCCAAGGCCCGAAGGATGCCACCTCCTTTCCTCTTGGTGACCTCTGTGTGTGCACCGGGGGTACATCCTGAGGCTTGTGGTCTCGCGTGTGCCGACACACGGCTGAGAGCCGCCCTCCGGGGCTGCAGGCCAGCGCATCTGGGACTCCACTACCGTGAGCTTATGTGGGTGGTCCCACTTGCAGGTCTGTGTCTCAGAATGTCTGATGGCTTCAGGATCTGAAACTCTCTCTTAACCTCCCCACCATTGGCACCCCCCCCCATGTTTCTGGGTCTCAGGGCTGCCCAGGAATCCTACTCCAACTCAAGAGTACTTCTTGCTCTTTTTCCTCCAAAATCTGTTTCCAAGTTGGAATCAGGGGATATAGATATGGAGCTGGACTGGTCCTCGGTTTAGGGGGAGGCAGAAGGGAGAGAGAATCAGGGAGACAGAGAAGCCAGAGCCAGGGGCCAGGTCTGGGAGACAGGCATGCATTTCACCTCTCCCTTCCACAAGCAAGGGCTCGCCCCATCTCCAAAGAATAAGGCTGCCCTACTCTGTCCGTAATCTGGCTGCTTCCCTCTGCGGCTGGCAGTGGGTTGAGGGTGAGTGTGTGGGTCTGGGGCCCCAGGGACCCGCATGTGTGGGAAGAGAGCGTCATCATGGGCTGTAGTTACTAGCTTGTGGGGGTTGGGGACATTAACTCTAGAGCAAAGGTATGTGTCCACCAGCGTGTGGTGTGCAAATAAGTTACTCTGGGGGGTTGTGGTACCTGAGGAACCCCTGAGCCCAAGACACACGGCCTTTCCTCTTTAAGGGGTGATTCCAGGGTAGAACCCTGACTCCTGCCCCTTCCTCCTTTCCCTCCTCAGCTCAGCAGGCATTTGTACCCTAGGGACCTTCGCTTCTCCACTCACCTGTGCCTCACCTGGGAGCTCCCTGCCCGCCCACTCCCCAGGGGCAGGAAGGGGCCAGCTGGGAAAGCCGGACCCTAGTGGCCTGCTCCTTCTGACCTCTATTCTCTGGCCCTTCGCTCCGTCCTTCTGAGAGGCTTTGAACACAGAAAGGGGCTGAGCTGGACGGGGGTCTGCTCCTCTTTCTCCCCCTTCTTGGTAGAGCCTCAGTTTTCCCGCCTCTAAAATGGGGAGTCCCCAGTTGAAGCATACAAATTGAAATGTGTGCGGGCACAGCTGGGCTGGGTGGTTGGGGTCGCTGGTGAGGAAGGCATGCCTGGCCGAGCCAGGAGTTCTGAGGCGGGGGAGAGGAGGGGAACCAGGGTGCTCTCCTTCTGCGTCTGGCTCTTTAGTTCCTAGCCCCCCGGCCCAGAGCCAGGACCCGCTGCTCGGCCAGAGCTTCGCCCATCCCAAGGCGACCCACACTGCCTGCACCGGGGCAGGCCCGGCCCCAATTTCAGCTGGAGAGGTGGCGCCGGAGCTCGGACCCGGGCCGAACCCGCCCCTGCCCGGAGCCGCTGCCGCCCTCCCTCCCCCGGCTCGGCAGGGCCGGAGTGACACCTACCTCACCAGGATGGCCACCCCCACGTCCTCGCAGTTGGCATAGAGCCGGGCCCACGTAGCCTGCACCGCCTTCCTCTCCGCCTCGGACAGCTCCTCGCTCCGCTCCCTGCGCTCAATCTCCATCTCGCCCGGCACTTTGTCCATGAGCAGCTCCAAGCCCAGCCCGGCTTCGCTCGGAGGCAGCGGGGCGCGGGGCGCCGGGCGCGGGGAGCCGGGGCCGGCTGCGTGCGCGGCGGGCGGGCGGGCTGGCGAGCGAGGGGTAGAGCGCGCCGGAGGGAGGGAGCGTGTCTGTCTCTGCGCGCCGGGTTTGTGTGTGTGTGTGTGAGTGAGTGTGTGTGCAGGGTATATGTGCGGGGGGCGGGGGACCGCGAGCGGGGGGCGGGGATGTGGTCTGCTGGAAAAATGTGAAAAAAAATAAAGCCGCTCCAAACCCCAAACCCCGCGTCGGTGAGCCAATACCGGCAAGGTGAAGGCTGGGCGGGGTGGGGGAGACGCGGCTCGCGCCCGCCAGGCCACCGCGGACCTTGACCGCCGGGCGGGGCTGGGGCGTAGGTGTGGTGGGAGTGCTGGGGAGCCTCGCGGGGAGGGGGCGGTCACGCGGCGCTGGGCTGCGCGGGCCGCACAGGAGTGCGCCCGGGCGGGCGCGGTCGGGGGGCACCGTGTCCCGGCTCACGCTGCGGGCGGTGTCGGGCTGTGTGCGTGTGTGCTCCCTTCACGCGGCGGGGAACTGACTCAAAGTCAAACACTCCCAGGCGTTTGCGGCGTGGCCGTCCGCCCAAGGGGGCGGACGCAGACCCTCCGGAGGCGCGGGGGTCCCAGCTGAGCTCACGCTCCCTCCCGGCTTCTCCCAAGCCAGCCACTGGGGGCCGCGGCGCCACTCCCGGAGCCGCGGACCCCAGGCTCCGGAGGGTTTGGGACTGGGGTCGCCTCCCTGCTCCAATTCCGTGTTGGAATCCCCTGCTGCGGGGATGGGGGACGGCTGTCGAACTTCAGCGCCGAGGCCTGCGCCCCCTTTCCTTCCGGCCAGCAACCCCCGCCGCGGTACGTGCGCATGGCGTCGGAAGAAAGGCCCTTGGGTGGCTTATTAATGACACGGGCAGGCAAAAAACAGGCGCTATCCTGAATCCCGGCCCTGGTGGAGGAAAGTCCACAGGAGGGGTAGCCGGCCGGGCAGGGAGGTACTGTGGGGAAGGTGTCAAGTAATCTTGGGGAGGCCCAGGCCCTGGAGATAGCTTAGGTGCCAAAGCTGCGACTGGGCGCTGATGGAGGAGACAAATTCTCATCCCAGTGGTCCTGCTCTGCGAGGTGGGAGCACCACAGGACAGGAGGCGGCGGCTGGGTCTGGGAGCCGGCGGGTCCCCACCCTGCAAATAAGCTGTTGGGAGCCAGGTCCCACCTCTGATGCCCAGCCCCAGCAGGAGGCCAGGGCCCAGTTCTCCCTAACACTCCCTGGTGACCCCGCCCTTCTCAAGACTTTGTGTCCCACTTCAAGTATTAGAAGAGTTTGGCTCTCCTCTTGAGCGCTGGTTTAGGTATGTTAAAATCATATTTCCGAGTAGAGAGCCCCGGTGGAGCCCCAGCTCCGGCCCTCCCTGATGCTCAGGGTTCACGTACCTCCCTGGAATCCTGGGCAGGGGCTCCCTTGACTCTGCCTCCATCTCATTTGAGGGAAGGAGAATCTAGTGCCATCTCCTGTGGGTTTTGGAAAGGGTTGGAAGAGGATGGATGCTTAGACCCATCTCTGCTCCCCAGGCTGCCTGGGCCAGGACAGAGCCCTCTGCACCTGGCCACCTCCCTGATAGGACGCCTGACACCAGTGTGGTGCCCTTCCAAGCACCTGCCAGGAAGGTTTCCACCGGGAAAGCAAGCAGGAGAAATCTTATGTCTGCTTACTCTCATCTCATCCTTTGCAAGTCTTACATGTGTTCATGGTGCAGGACTATATTTGCCCCATTGTATCGTACATAATGTCTAAGCGGATGCATATACTATTTCACAAAGCACACTGAAGATCAGTCGTTTAAGGAGGAGGGTAGGTCATCAGGGACATTTGGAGAGAATTGTCCAGAGGGGACAACTGAACGACTTAGCCAGCCCTTCAATCCCTGGCCTCCCTTGTCTTTCTGGCTTCATCATCTAATATTCTTCTCCCTTCCTCCCCTCCCGATGCCTTCCCATGACATCATTGTTCTGCTGACACTCAACTTCCAGTTGCCGGAACATGCCTGATGCTTTCATGTCTGCAGCCCCCAGCAGAATCTGCCAGCCAGGGGGGCTCAACCTTCCTCGAGCACCTCCCAATTCTGGTGCCCCCAGCTCTTCTTCCCCTGGGCGTTCCCTAAGGCTTGTAGCGCCCAAAGGGCTCTGCCCTCCATCACCTATGTCTCTCTATTGTGGTCATTTATGTAACTGGCCAGGGCGTGTGTCTAAACTAGAAGTCCCTTGAGGGTCCAACCCAGGTCTGTCACATCAACATCCCGAAGGGACAGCTTGATTTACCCTGCCACCGTGGGCGACAACCTGGTCCCAGCGAGGTTAATCAGGCTGCACAAGGTCGGGTCTGCTGACCCCACTAAGCAGCTTGAGCCTCCTAATCCAGGGCCAGCAGGAACCTCAGGACAGACGGCAGTGGCTCGCGGAAGGTGACAGGGCCATCTTGGCCTTCTTCTGTGGACCCTGTCGGGGAGGGGATGGGGCAGCTGAGTCATGTGCACCACTCTTTTCGTGCTCAGCACCTTGGCCATGCTCTGGCGCCGCCGATTCGCCAACCGGGTCCAACCGTGAGAAACTGGGCGGTGGGCTTGGGTGGGTGGGGTGGGGAGAAACTACTGTGGGGGGCCAGAGCCAAGCTGAAGTTGGGCCCCAGGTTACCTGGACCTTCTGGGAGGGCAGTGGAGGATGGGGTGAGGATTTGCAGGGAGAGTTCGCAGCTCTTCAAAAACTCTGGCTGAAGCTCCCCAGCTTCCCCAGGCCAGAGTGGCTGGGTCCTGCAGGAGAGAGGGTTCTGGGCCTGGGCACTGTCCACAGCTCCTCTTGCCTGGTCCTCCCGCCCACAGAGAGCCCAGCGGAGCAGACGGGGCAGTAATGGGCAGCAGATCGGAAACAGATCTCCAGTCTTCAGGCAGGTAAGGCAGAAGAGAGTCAGGGGTGGAGGAGGGAGGGTGTGTCCAAGGAAGCTCCCGCTCTCCCGGTCCCTGTCCGTGCCTGGGGGGCGGGGAGGGGGTGTACGTGAGTGTGTGAGTGTGTGCGTGCACTCTGGAGGCTGGCCCCTCGCCCCAGCCACCCTGCTCCCTGTGTGCCTGGTGGGCAGGCTGAACGTTTTCTCCAGTTGGCAGTGGGAGCCCCCAGCCTGTCCTCTGGACCACAGCTGCTCTGTCTTGTTTGTCCGAATGTGGGGTGGTCCCCAGGGTCCTATCGGAAGGCGCAGGGGGACTGGAGAGAGGGATGGGGCAGAAGCAGCTCCGCTGGCTCGGCTCGCCTTCCCTTCCCCCTCTCCCGCTGCCCCCGCTCAGCCTCGGCGGCTCCTCTGCTCGAGCCCGGAGCCCGATTCGCGGTCCGGTGCCCAATAGGAGGCGCAGGAGGACCATGACATCATCAGCACGGAGTGCCATTGGCTGGGCAGCTCCTGCGGGCAGGACGCTGTCTCCAGTGGCCAGAAAGTTAACTCTTCCCTTGGCTGAAACCATGCGGCCTTTACAAGGGGTGAAGTTTTGGGAACTTCTGGAACGTTCCTTCCCTGGGTGACCAGGGCCCTTTGATGATTAGGGCTCCTGTGCCCAAAAAACACGGAAAAATCGACGAATATTTATTAAGAACATACTATTTGTCACGTTCTGTTGTGCCTGTGGGTCTACCTTGTGTAAGAGAGAGGACAGCATTCTCTCCTGCAAATTCTTCTAGCCTTTGCTCACTCCTAGTGAAACAAAGAACACGATGCCCTCGGGCTCCGGGGCTCCTGGCTGGAGGGAGTCTCCCCATAGGGCTCAGAAGGCTGAGCCAGTTAGCACATCTGCCTGCCAGGGCACCCCAGTGTCTCCATCTTGGGGTGTGGGACACGCCTGCGGTGGCCCTCAGCCACACGGAGACTGGCAAGCCATGAGAACGGGAGTCTCTGTCCGTGTGCAGTGCCTAACTCCTCCTTGGTGCTGGAATTCCTCCAGGCTCTGAATGTCAGAAGACCCACTGGGCAGCCCCGGGCACGTGCCAGAAACAGGCATTTCTTCGATGCCCTTCCTTGGCATCTAGGCCAGCTGAGATGGCCACAGAGCGCCCAAGTAGTCCTCCTGGTGAAATCTGCTGACCTAGGCGAAATGGTGAGCCCCGGGCCTCACACAGTGGGCCTCACACAGAGCAGGACCCTGTTCACCCAGGGAAGGAACATTCCAGAAGTTCCCAAAACTTCATCCCTTGTAAAGGCCACATGGTTTCAGCCTAGGGAAGAGTTAACTTTCTGGCCACTGGAGACTGGTCCTCCAGGCTGAGTTTGGGTCTGGAAGTGTATAGCCAGAGTCCATGTCCTGACTCCCCTTACTGACTGAAACTCAGAGAAAGCGACCTTTTTATTTATATATAAACTGAGATTAATAACAGTATGGTGTGGGGTGATTATGAGGTTCAAATACAGATCATCGTAAACCACTTGGCACAAAGCAGGTATTTAATAAATGCTGGCTGTTCTCCTGCGCTCCTCTGGTTCTTGGTCACTGTTCTAGTCATCCCCTGAGGTGTCCCATGTATTAACTCACTTGGGGGTTGTAACAGTCCCAGAGGGTTGGCAAGACAAACATTTCCACCTCTCATGAACGGTGGAGGAAACTGAGGGACTGGGAGGCATAAGTTACTTGCTCAAGGTCATCCCTCCGATTTGTGGCCAATGGGGACAGACAGGTCCCTGACTTTAAGCAGTCCGTCTCAGCCACATGAAATGGGCCCGGACCCCTTCTCAGGAGGAGAGAGCCAAATCTGAACTATCAGGCCTGGCCTTGTGTGGTTAAGCCAGAAGGAAGCAGTTTCCTGTCAACTCCTCACGACCTAACGCCTAACACCTCCAGCCTTCAAGGACCAGCCTGGGTGAAATTTCTGCTCTCCGATTACCTGGTCACAAATTCCTGCTGCTTTCCCAGCTGCTCCTACCCCTCCTCCATAGTGGGGTGACTCGCTAGGCCTGGGGCAGAAGGAAGTGGAAGTCTGGAGGCATGGGAAGGACACCCCCCTCAATCCTCTGACTCCCATCCTCACCCCCTCAATCCTCTGACTCCCATCCTTTTCTGTTTAGGGAGAAAGAGTCTCTGAAGTAAGTTCTCACGTCTTCAGGAGGAGCTTGGCCCCAGGGACTGACATCACCCGGCAGAGACAGGTAGGACCAGGTTTCGAGGCTTGGAGGTGAGAGGGCTAGGCTGGGGCCCAGGGAGGAAGACTGTGCAAGGCCTGGCCATGTGGGAACAGGCCACCTGCAGCTCTGTGCTCCTTGGTCATAAGGGGGAGCCTGGACTCTTCTCAGCTCCTACCTTGAGCCTGTTATGGTCCCGGCCACAGGGCAAGGGCTAGTTTTAAGGGAATGATGTGTGATCTCAACGGCATTTTCTAAGCTAGGAGATGAGGCAGTGGTCATGCTGGGGCCATGAGGGTAGTCTCAGTGGACTTCTAAGGGAGAGGAGGAGCTCTGGAATATCCATTTTGGAATGCAAGCTTCTGCCTTGGCATGGGAGGAAGTGCTAATTTGGTCTGGTTTTCTGTTTCAGTTCAAGTCCCGGCTTGCCCCCCACGTACAAAGGATGCTGTGGTGGAAGGAGCAGCAGCACGCTGGAGAATGGGGAAAAGCAGCCATCGAGAAGGTAGACCCCTCCCCTTGAGGTCCTGGACCTGCTTGTCCTCATTTTGTCTCCTGGCGCTGGTGGCCGGCAGGAGGAGCAGAGACGCTCATTGCCTTGGGACGGGCTCCCTTTGTCTGAGGTCTTGAGGATCGTCCGGGGCAGGCCCCGAGAGGGACTTGGTGGGGTCTACTCTGGGGCACCCCAGCAGCCCAGGCTAGAGGAAGAGCAGGTCGGGAGCTGAGGGACTGTTGATAGGGCTTCTCACTCATTCCTTAACCTCATCCTTGAAAAAATCCAAGGAGCCTGGGCATATTATTATCCACATTTTGGAAATGAGGAAACACAGAGAGGCTAACAAATTTGTCTGGTGTCATCTAGCTCGTTAATGGGGGATCCCGCCTTCCCGAGCCTCACACGGACGCTGCAGAGCTGCCCCACGCTCTTAACCACCAGGACCTAGTCGTCTCTGGAACCCCACGGCAGTTGGCAGCTGCTCTGTGAAAAAAGGGGTTCCCCTGGCCTGGCAGCCCCAAAACTTGTGGACCAAGGCTGTGTGGCATCAGTGTCCCAGAGTGGCACGCGCTTCCTGTGGTCCTTGCCTCTCCCGGGTCCCCAGCACTCTCCCTGTCACGGGCCGCTTGGCTAGATCATCAGCAAGAAGTGCCCGTTGGATCTGTGACATGTCTGCCTGCAGCTGGAGCAAAGCTTCTCTCAGCCTGGGCTCCGAGTGCGTCTTCTGGGCGCGCGTGTGTGCATGCGTGCGCGGGTTCCAAAGGGGCAGTAGCGTGTGGGAAGGGAAAAAGCATGACACTTGTTTTTGTCAGTCCGCTGACTGCTCAGCACCACAGCGGCCTCCTTTGCCCCCAGCGGCTCTGCCATTTCTCTCTTCGCCATCCTGCCCGACCCGGAGCAGAGATCAAAGCAGATTTCCGCTTCTGCTCCCTGGGATCCAGGCACAGACCTGCAGGCAGCTGCTCCCGACTGTCTGGAAGTCATTCATCTTGCAAAGCAGCATCCCCCCCCACCCGCCCCCTCCTGCACGTGCACCCCCCCACCTTCCTCACCATCCAGCCCCCAGGCGGGCTGACAGGCAGGGAAGTCTCCGTCTGGCTGGCCCCTGCCATCAGGAGGCAGGAGATGGGGAGCTCTCTAGGCAGCAGTCCCTTTGCTGCCGCCCTGTGACTCCACAGATGAAGGAGGGGAGGAAAGGGTGAGATGCCATAGACTGTGGGGACCCACACTGAAGCCCTGGGGGAGGGGCTGTTGATCCTGCAGGGAGCCTGGCAGGGCTGTGGAAGCCTCTAGAAGTAGGGCAGGACAGAGGCAGGGGAAGGGTCCCACCCGGCAAGGAGCTCTGGGCTGGAGTCCCGGCAGAGCCCCACTGCCCACTTGACCCAGGCCAAGAGTTCGTGACCCCTGTCTCAGCTCCTGTCAGTCCGTCTTTCTGCTGCGAGGCAGGCAGTGGCTTTCCTGGTGATAGGGCTGTCATGCTGAGGGCTAGAGGACACCGTTCCTGGGGTCCCAGTCTGTGTCCCCGAGCCCGACCTGTGTATTCATTCTCTAATCTATTTGCCATGTTCCTGTCACTTCAGCCTCAGCTCTGCACTCTGCCATTTCCAGGTGGCCTGTCTCCTTGCACGAGTCTGAGGAATTGTCAGGCCAAGGTCACCTGGCAGGACAGGGGCTGGCTGGAGGCCCAGACACACCTCCACAAAGCGACACCCCTTGGGAGCACTGTTCCAGGAGCCTGCTCAGGGGCTGGTGGCTCCTCCAGGCATCGGTCCCAGACGAAGGGATGGAAGGCGAGGGGATGGGGGTTGGGGGGGGAGTGTGTTGGCTGGCCTTGGCGGCTGCCTGGACCCTGGCAGCTGGGGTGCCGTGTGGGCTGGGCGGGAGGGGCCCCCTCCCCCAGGGAGCGGCTGGCTTCGGTGGGAGCAGATTGTGTTTACACCTTCCCCGCACACCCAGCCCACGCTCCCTCTTATTCCCTGGGGCTCTCCCACCCCTGGGCTCTCTGCACAACGTGCACATTTGCAGCCCCTCTCCTGCTGCAGGAAGTGGCCACCCTCAGCCGATGCTGGGCCCCAAGCGCTCCTGCCTCAGCCCACTGTCGCAGGGGGTGGACCCAGTGTCCCCAAGAGGCTGCCTCCTCCCCTCCTCCCTCGCCCCCCCCCCGCCCCAGCCCTATTTCCTTGGAAAGAGCTGCTGCTTGGGAATGGGAGCAGGAAAGTCCAGGGGCTTGGCAGACGGACCATAATAGGAGGGAAGGGATTAAGGGCAACCAGAGAGACAGCGCAGAGACTGAGAGCTGGGGCTCCCCTGGCCCCTCATGAAATATCAACGCAGAATCTGAGAGTGAGGAGTCTGGGCTCAGAGCACCAGATATGAGTCCAGACTCCACCATCACTTCCCAGTTCTGTGGCCTTGCATGGGTTACTGAACATCCCCAACCTGGGGTTTCTCCTACGAGGAGGATCATGGTAAACCTGTCTCTGAGTGGTCGTCACAGTTAAATTAGATAACGTGTCTAAAGTGCTCAGCGCACTCAGCAAGCCTTTGATATATCTGAGCCCGGGAGGCAGTGTTAACTACGGAACAACAGGTCACTTTGCAACAACGGTGGATTCCGAACAGCTAGTTCTTTGCCTCCTTGCCCCGTGGCCCTTCCTGCCCTGTCTTTTCCACATATGCAACAGCAGGGCGATGGGCAGTCCTGAAACGAGGCAGAGCCAAGCCCAGCTCAGCCCTGGGGCACCTGGGAAGACCCAGCAACAAGGCAGACTGGACCGGGGCGCATGGCTGCTGCCTCTGTGTGCCTGGAGCCCTGTCCCAACCTCCAGCGGGAGGCCTGGCCTGGACACCCTCCCTTCCACTGGCTCTGCTTCCCTGCGTGGATCTTAGCTCCTAAGGAAGACAGGAGGTGATGGCCTTGATGTTTTTCCATTCTCCATCTGAATGCTCATCTCTGCCGGTTGGAGCCTGCGTGACAGGGGAAAGGCTGCTCTGAGCTGCAGGGTGACCACCGGCAGCAGCTAGGAGCAGGGAGGTGCTGTTGTCTGCTACTTTTGTGGCTGCTGCCAGTCTCTCCTGGAGATTGGAGCATGACTGGAGAGCTAATGAGGTGGTGGAGGAGGGTGGGGAGCAGGGGAAGCAGACACAGCAGCTGTATGAGCCACTGATGTCCTGTGTCACCCTAGGGGACAGATGCTGCCACAGGGAGAGCCCTGCCCATCCCAAACCCAAACACGCAGTTGTGCGGGAGGGTCCTGGGCAAGGGCGCCCAGCAGAGGCCCTAGTTCAAGACAAAGCAGGTGCGATGGCACCAGGACTGGTCCCACAGTTTCCTAGGGACCCTTTACAGGACCTCAGTTAGGAAGAAGCCCAAGACCTTGAGCTAGAGGGAAGTCATGCTTTTTTGTGAGCCTCGAAAGAAGAGAAATGGCCACGGTTTACAGTAAGATGGTGATACTAATATTAATAATGGTTAATGTGTCTCAAACACTTCTGTGCTAGGCGCTGTGCCAAGTGCTTTATTTATACGCATTGTCTCATTTAAGGGGCAGGGGCTGTTGTCATCCTCATTTACCCAATAAGGAAAGTGAAGTTCGTGGAGCTTGCTCAAGGTCACGGACAGCGAGTAGTGAAGCCAGGAAGTGCGTCCTGAGCAATGTGATGCCAAGGCCTGGGGAGGTGTTGGAGCACCGAGGACTCAAGTCTCGAGCTGGGGCTTGAGGACATTCTGGGCATGACCTGCCCACCAGGGCTCCGAGAATGAGAGCTGTGGAGCCCGCCCCGTGACATTCCCACGCTCCCTCTGTAGGAATGCATCATTCGAGGCTGGATTTGACTCTGGGCCCTGAAAGGGTGGTCCTGGATTGCCGACCGAGGGGAGTGAGGAGAGCTGCCTTTCCGGGATCTGTCACGCCCCTCAGGGAGGAAGCAGTGGCCCCTATCTGCGATGACAAGGTCATGGAACTTGTCACTCGTTGTCACTGGTGCTCTGCTAGCAGCCTCCTTCAACCAGGGGCAGAGCGCTGGGGGTAGGAGGGCAGCCAGCAGCCCAGCAGGAGAGCGGGGAGATTGAGGAGGAAGGCTTTGTTGTTTGTTTTTACAGGGGGAGGGTGCAGGGTGTGAAGGAGATGGCTTCAAGAGGGACCCGGGGACTTCAGCTGGAAACCAATCCTTGTACCTAAGGACATCGGACCCTCTCTGTGGGCTACACATGCCCCCTAGTGGGGATTAAGATGAGAGGGTGGCTGAGAAAATTAAAACAAAACAAACAAACAAAAAAAAGATTTCCTGATAGATTGTGGCACCTGAGGCCGGATAGGAATGGCCGGTCGTGTGTCCGTGCGAAGGCACGTGTCTGCTGGCGCACACACGGGCACGCACACGTGTAATACCGTTTGCAGCCGTCGGGTGCACGGAACGTTCAAAGGAATGATTTCGTTTCTTCCTTGGTCATTTATTTAAGACGCACATAT